TTTTACTTATCTGGAATCAGTGGCTGTCAACATCCGCTGAAACCCGTATAAAGATTTATAGACCTTGGAGGTAAATATTGACTAATGGGCAGCTTGGCTTAACGTTCACCTTGAAGGACAATAAATTGTGCTATTGATTGAAGCGAGATGTCAATATCTGCATTGTTGTAAACATTTTAATAAAATTATCTCCATAAAATATTCTTCTTCTCCAACCAATCCCGGCTAGTAGGATCAGTGCCTGGATAGCACAGCGGCACGGCGTAGCAGGAAGGGTAGCGCCTCAGGATCATCCCTGCGACTTCAGGCATCCGGAGGTGAAACTCGTTGCCGGACGATCGCTGAGGTTGTGCCTTTGAGCTTTAGAGGTGGAAATATCAGAGCCCCGGATGGCTGGGCCGGCTCGCATCTATCTGAGGTGCGGGGACTTGGTATGGGCACGTGGCAGCGTGAAAGGTATGCCATCGCTGCTGGGTGCTGCCCTGGTTGGTACGACATGTCGCGTGGCTCAGTGAAGGGGCAGCGACTGTTCCGTTAGGGTTGCGGTCCTTGGGAGCTAGCACGGTGCACGGAAGCAATGACGGTACCCGTGCCGCTTGCCTCGCTTGGTACACCGCGGGTCACTGGTGGGATGCTACGGCAGAGAGCGGCGCCTCGCTGCCAGTTCAGCAAAGCATTTTAACAGCATCGCGGGCAGTGTTCAGCCAGGGAAACCTGTAAGCGGTGTGTCCTAAAGATCTGTCGTGGCTCTGATGGCAAGCCAAGGGATGGTGGCACGGCATTGATTTGGGAACGTGTGTTTGCTTTCTGGTGAGTTCTTGTCGGAGGCTCAATGGAAGGAAACGGGTAGGAAGAGGCGGAAGGGAGATGAATCGGGCTGGGAAAACGAGTTGAAGCAAGGGAAGGAGAAAGGCAAGGAGCGAGGAACATGGATGCATGGGGCAGCTGCCTGCACCAAATCGCATCCACACTATGTGGGAATCCAAGCGTTGGCTCTGCCTCGGTGTTCTGTGCCAGTCTGGGATTTTGCCCCCGTGACTCCCCCGCGGCTATGATGGCCAAGCTCCCCTGCGCCAGGGGCCTCGCAACGCACGGCACCGACCGCTGCCTCGTCAATGGCAATCTCTCTAATGTACCCGCGGTATCTTATCTGCACCGTGCGAGGGACATTGTTCGGTTATTTATACCTCTGTATTTTGGGCTGCACACTGCCGTGGTGCTCAACCGTCTCTGGCCGGAGGCTCTCAAATGCCGTGCCGAATGCCACCGAGCTCCCCGGCGCTGTTTGTGATGCAGGCTGTTCATTACGCCTCAAGTCTGTCTTGGCTATTTTGCAGCTCCGGGCTGAGTTTTCCCCCTTGCTCCTTTCTGCTTGCAGT